GCAAAAAAAACTGTGTCAGTTTATTTATACATATAACATTTTTCAAAAGCCCCTACTGAAGAGATATCAGTGAAATGAAGCATTGGACTGTTAATCGGCTGGATGACTTGGCGACATGGTGATTAACAAAATATGAGATGATATATAGCAAAGAACTATATAAATGCTTTTGCGTTCACTTGAAAAACTTTTGCATTTGTACAAAACAGGTGCTGTAAATACTATGATGTGGGTGGAAAACGCAAAGTTTCTCGGGGAAACGCAATACTTTTGCAAACGAACCCAAAAGTGTTGTGAGCGAATTTAAATGTATTGACATATAATTATTCCTCCTATCTCATATTTTTTTCACCACCTTAGCCTTAGGGGCTTTGTAGTATGTTATATTAGGTAAAAATTACAATACAAAAGACTAATATCCAGGGAAACACACTTTAAAACCTAAAACTATCTTTTTTCATATTTATTTCACATATGGTCAGAATCTGCAGCTGAAAAGTAAATTATGTCAGTCATTATATTACATGGAAGTTGTGTTAAAGGGGCTTGAGTGATGTTGTTACATTTGCTTCCTGCAGTGTTCAGGTTTTTGTATTTATTTACATAAAAAGATATAGGTGTACAAATTCATTGTTTCTCAAGAATTGCTGAAATCGGCATAGACAGAAAGAGAGATGGAGAAGACCACTTTTGTAATTATTCAAGTTTAATGGCAAAGCATACCTAAAGTACAATTCCATGTAGTCCACTGTTAAAATTATTTAGATGTTTTGGTTCTTGATACTTTATGAACAGTATGTTTTTCATCAATCCCAAACAGAAACTTTGATGTAATTATGTAAATATTTATAGGTTAGTATGCCAAATTTAGAAAAACTGTGAATATTCAAATGATTAGACACCAAATGTACCAAACATAACATTGAAACAATGGGTTAAACAGATTTAAATGCATGTCCTTCTCTGCACTTTATTTTCTTGTTCTGAGAATGATGATGGGAAAGCAAAAACAAGCAAATCAAAATGCATAGTGTAATGTTAAGGCATCATGATATTAATAATGTATCTTAAATTGTGTTTATATTAAATGTTTAAAATTTACATTGACTGCATTAACATTGGAACAGGCTGATTAAAAAATAAACATTATAATTCCACATCCTGCCGGCTTGATCCTACACCTACTGTTTTGCTTAAGATGTGTGTCCTCGAGGTTGCACCCTTCACAACACATATGATAAACTGTAGTTTGGCTTCCGCCATTGTCCCAGCAGAATTATTAATGGCTGTGGTGACCCCCATTCTTAAAAAATATGCCTTGACCATCTAAACATGGGCAATTACAGGCCAATATCTAATTTAACATTCTTAAGCAAAATCCTTGAAAAGGTTGTGGCTTCGCAATTGCGATCATAATTAGATGGTCTTTTTTAACCTTTTCAGTCAGGATTTCGCCCATCTCATAGCACTGAAACGGCTCTTCTTCAGGTGGTTAACGACATTCTTTTGTCCGTGGATTCAGGGTTAAAAAACATCTTTATGCTTCTCAATCTAAGCGCTGCATTTGACATAGTCTTCCATGAAATACTGATCTCTCGGCTTTCTGATATCGGCATCACTGGCATCATTTCCTGACTCATTTCTTACATCAGCGACAGAAAGTACTATATCACCATAAGGGTATAAATCTGCCACTGCTTTGCTTACACAGGGTGTTCCTCAAGGTTCAGTTCTTGGCCCACTATTGTTCATCATCTATATATATCCACTTGGTGACATCATACGCAGGCATGAACTTCAATTTCATTGCTATGCTGATGATATTCAAATTTACCACCAGATCCGATAGGCCATCCCTGCCTGACTCACTCACTGCATGTATCAGAGACATCAAGCATTGGATGTACCTGAATTTCCTCAAATTAAATAATAAAAAAAACTGAGATATTAGTGATTGGCTCTGCTGCCTCATCAAAAGGATGGGCCTGTCCTTTGATATTGATGGAGTTCATGTTAAGCCTTCGTCATCTATTAGTAACCTTGGTGTCTTAATCGACTCAACTCTATATTTTGGCTCTCATATTTCTTCTCTTGTTAAAAACTCTTTTTTCCATCTTCGTAATGCACGTATCTTCGATCTTCTCTCACTTTAGAGGATGCTGAAACCTTAATTCATGCATTAAACACATCACGTCGGATTATTGCAAAGCTCTATTTCTTGGCCTGTCCAAAAAACTTATTGCAAGATTGCAGTATGTTCAAAACTCAGCAGCAAGAGTTCTCACCTCCACCAGGCGTTCTGCTCACATTACTCCTCTGCTTCATGACCTTCACTGGCTACCCGTGGCATCACGTATTCACTTTAAGGTATTACTTCTACGTTTAAGGCATTACATGGTCTTGCACCTCCATATCTGTCTGATCTACTTTACTCTTAACGCCCTGCCCGGTCCCTTCAGCTGAACTTGGGTTATTGTCCATCCCTCATTTCCGGTTGTCTACTGTAGGTGGAAGGTCATTTAGTGTTAATGCTCCTAAATTATGGAATTCACTACCCCTTACACTTCGAAATATCTCATCTGTGGCTACATTCAAGACTCAGCTAAAAACATATCTATTTAAAATGTATTTTGGATGACTATATGTGTCCTTATTGTAATATGTGTGCGGGTGTGTAAATGTATTGTAATGTACAATGTAAAGCGACCTTGAGCTACAGAAAGGCGCTATATAAATAAAACTTCTTCTTCTTCTATATGAAAGGGTTTTGAATATGTATTATAATTGTTAATGGTGAAATTAACTCTTTCACACCCTATGTTGCAGGAACACAACAATATGATCATGCTTTATTTCTACTAGAAATGATAATGAATGAAATAAATGAGTCATTAAAATATTTATTATCAAAGTCTATTTCAATAAACATTGATTCTGCAACATCCAAATAAGTATATGTATATAAATTTGTTGTAGATTAAGTTGTTTTATCTTGAAAGAAATTACTGAATAACTAACAAAAACAAAACAAAATATTCAAAAGAACAAACCGTTTTCCAGCATACTTCTAAATGGTTTTAAGAATAGAATATAGTTGGCAACCTTTATTAATCATAGTCTGAAGATAATCTGACTTAATTTTAATAATAATTTAAAAAAAATCTAATATTACTTCCAGCAGTTTTGAAGAAATATTGAAACCCAATGTCCATTACTTTAGACATCAAATAATAAAATCCTTTGTAATAAAGGTAAATGTCACAATCCTTTGTAAAATAAAGATAGTATGACTTATCTTAATAATGTCACCTAATTTTAAAAGAGTCAAACAATTGCTTATTTCAAGATAAATATAATAGAATCAGAATTATTTGTCTGTTACATGCTGCCACGCTTTATTCATTTTAAAAAGCCTAAGCAGCCTAATTTTTGTATAAAAAAATATTATAATAAAAAACATCAGTGGACTTGTAGTATGTTGTAAATTGTAATCATATTATCCTGCAATTTGGGTGGCACCAAAATCCACAAATTAAGCTGGAATGGATGGGCTACTGGCTCTGAAAATGATAAAAATCCACTATTTGTGTGATACCAACACAGCAAAATGAATTGTGCATTGCTAAAAGAAGCTCTACCAAAGTCACTATCAAGCTTTCGTTCATTGTTATAAATGTATTTGATTTTGAATGTAAGCTCATGTCCTAAATCGCTCAGTCCAAGACTGACACAATCGGACCATGACAATCTGTTGCACAATACTAGCCTATTCATTTGTTGATACTGAATAATTAAGGTAAACCAAACAGTTGAAATGCATTATAAATGATTTATGATTTAGTGTTAAACTTACATACTAACGAACAAATAACTGCCGTATAATTTATTATGCAATGCTAAATTCTGTAATGAGAGACTAGTGTTTGTCTGGCTTTAATGTGGAGCGGAAGTGCGGATCAGCTGATGCTGGAGAGCCATCTTCATCTTCCCGAGCAGAGCAGAGGAGAGGGGGACAGGACAGAAAGAACAGGGGGATCTCGACTCCAAATTGTCAGCTTTTAAAGACATTTTGGATCCAGAGAGCACTGGCTGCTTTGAAACGGAGGACTAGAAAAGAACCGGCCGGTGGCACATGCAGACAAGCGAATGACAAGCTTTTACACACAAAGGAGAAGACATATGAGGCAGCTAGAAGTGGCATAAAGACAAATGTGTTTTCCACAGATGGACATCTGTCTCGGTCGAGGGGTCAAATCTGAATTTTAGTTGTCTGATTTTTTTTTAAACCCACGTTGAGGCAAAATGCTGAGATAAAAGCACTGACCGGTCGTTTGTTTTGGGTAACGTTAATCAGTGGATCGACAAGACTCGGATTAGGGACCAAGGCTTTTGTGCCAAAACATTAAAACAGTGTTATTCCGTCTGATTATGTGTAGGGACAAATAAGCACAGGTCGTGTCAGCGCTTATTTTGACAGTTTTTGAAGTGTTTGGGATTTCGGGTTAGCGGGGACGCTAGCAGGCTAATCGACTAACGTTAGCCTATCGGAGTTAGCAGAGCTACCTCGATCGAAATAAAAACAACCGTACCTGGGTTGTTTTGGGTTAACACAGGTTTACTACGGTGATATGGCCTTATTTAAGAGAAATATCCCTGCAAAGGGTCACTAGGTGTACTTGGGGACCTGTTTTTCTTCACCGCTCTCTTGTTTTGTTAGCCGTAGAGCTGTTGTGGGACTCGAGGCTCAGCTGATAGGACGCACAGAGGAGAGGGGGTTTAAATTAACATTTGAGTGAAAAGAACTCCTGCTTGCTAAAACGACAAGAACTCTGCTAACATGTAAGTGAGTCACTACAGTTCATGCTGTCAAATAACATTATTTGCTATGTAGTTTGAATACTACACTAAAGAGGGGCTTATTGATTTTAAAATCTTATTTCATAAGATTTAAACCTCGACAAAGGTACAGTAATACATATCTGGAGTAATACATAACACTTGACGATGTAAGACACCACTTATATATGGGGAAAAGTCATACGTATATTGGTTTATTAAATCTTTAGCTATGGGTTGTCACTTTTTTCAAGAACAAGACCCCTAAGCGTCTCCAGCAACTGGGGTCTAAAAGCATGGATTAACTCCACTTAACTGCACCGCAGTGATGTGCAAGTGCTCCATCTGACAACCTATATATAGCCTACATTTTTAAGAAACACAGGCTTTCTTGAGGGACTTCGCAGGGTGTTTGGGTTGAGTGTGAGTTTCCCCTCCCCCTGAGCGAGTGTCACTTTCTCAAAACAACAGAAGCTCAGAGGCACGTTCATTTGGAGCTTTCAGGTCTCCACACAGCGGATGTGATGGAACTGATGTTCGCTGAGTGGGAAGACGGAGAGAGGTTCTCCTTTGAAGATTCGGACCGTTTTGAGGAGGACTCCCTGTGCTCATTCATATCAGAGGCGGAAAGCCTCTGCCAGAACTGGAGAGGATGGAGGAAACAGTCTGCCGGCCCAAATTCACCCACTGTGAAGATTAAAGGTAATGGAATATTGTCTTTGTGTGCTGTGAAATGCTTTATGTGCTGTCATTGTAACGTGAGCACACCGTTCCTTGGCATGGCTGCACTTTTGACCTTAGGATGTATTCTTAACTTATGGATAAGAGTAAGACTGTCACGTGACCTGCATGTTCAGAACTAACAAGTGAAACTGCCTCCAAACATGGCCCTATTTGGACAATTTAATTAACCTTTGTATGTCTTGGAGATATTTGTGACTAATTTTTTGATAAAGAATACACATTAAATATCACTAGTGGAGTTAGGCATTGTCAAGAATATAAGAATACATTTTGTATATTATTATAGTAAGTTTCCCATCTTTGTGTTAAATTTATTTTTTTGAAGGTCAGTTATGGCCTTATTTAAACGTTGGCTTGTAACATGTTTAGCATCTTAAATATATTAATCAAATATAAATACTGTTCTCTATGATAGGGTGCAGTGAGGTAAAATGCTCCTCTGATATAATTTTATCTTTCATCTTATAGCATAGCAACTAAAGCCACTACACTACTTTCATACACCTGTAGTACCACAGCACATTGTTTTGCATGTTGAGATGAATTGATTTGTTGCAATGATTTTGCAAAGTGAGACCATAGTGACTTTCAGACACTATGGAGATTTATTTGTGAATTAAATATGCATGTAAAAATGTTTCTTTAAGATGCAGATCATCTGTTAACAAATTACAGAGTAATACAGCAGTTTTTTATAACAAAAATAATATATAAGATATTATTAAATACCTAAAGTGATTTTAATTAAGCAGAAAAAAAAATTAAGTCTTTAAACATTTTATTTACTAAATTTGTATTTTTACAGCAATATTCAATGTGTTTTTTTCTGTTATAATTTCTTAAAAGGAGTCCTAAAAAAATCTTGTATTTTTAATTGTTTTCAATGTGAGTGAAATTTGACTTGAAGATCACAGGTAAGTTAAATGTCAGAGGACAATAGTAAACTTAAAGGGATAGTTCACCCACAAATGAAAATTGTCATTTACTTGCGCTCAAATGTTGTCCCAAACCTGTAAGACTGTCGTTCATCTTTGTAACCCAACTGAAGATATTTTTAATCAAATCTGAGACATTTCTGTTTGTTCATTGACATCTACACAACTACTATTTGGATGCTTCAAAATGTTCACAAAGCGATTGTAAAACTAATTCATATGAATTGAGTGGTTTAGTCCAAATTTTCTGAAGAGACACGATCACTTTATATGATGAACAGATTGAATTTAGGCTTTTGTTCACATATAAACATTGATCAGCAAACATAAACAGAATTTCAACTAACCTGCTTGATGCGTGAGAAGAACAAACCACTTATGGAAGCTCAAACGTGCTGCGTAACACGAGAATGTGCCTCATTAGGACATGCTTGAGCTTCCGTTTATGTTAGATGTGTGCGTTGATGAATGTGTTTATGTGTTAAATGTGTTTATACACTAAACAGAATAAATCTGTTTAGTGTATAAAGCCATTGTGTCTCTTCAGAAAATTTGGACTAAACCACTCAATTAATATAGATTAGTTTTGCAAACTCTCTCTATGAACATTTTGAAGCGTCAAAGTGGTAGTTGCGTAGCTCTCAATAGAGGGACAGAAATCATCATTAAAAATATATTTGAGATCCGAAGATGAACGAAAGTCTTACAGTTTTGGAACGACATGAGGGTGAGTAAATGATGACAGAATTTTCGTTTTTGGTTAAACTAACCCTTTAAAAGGGATAGTCCCCCCCCCCCCCCCCCAAAAAAAAAAAAGTCATTTGCTCATCCTGATGTCTTTCCAACCCTGTATGACTTAAGTTGTTTTGTGAACTAAAATAAGATATTTTCAAAAATGTATTTTTTCCCCCATACCATGAAAGTCAATGGGTTGTTTGAACCCCAACATTCTTCAAAATATCTTCTTTTGTGTTCCGCAGAAGAAAGTCATACAGGCTTGAAACAACATGAGGGTAAGTAAAAGATGACAATTTATATTTGGATGAACTGTCCCTTTATTATATTGACTAGAAAAAGCAATGTCCAATTGTTATGAATTTATGCATTTCTTTTTATTTCTGGTTTAACTCAGATTTGTCTCTATACAAATGTTTTACAGTATCCCATAGCTTATTTTTCTAGCAGTAAATCTAGATCTTTGATATTGCAGCACAACTGTGATGTGTTAAAATCATGTTTGAAACAACTTTGAGTTGCATTTGGTCAGTCACTCTGTATTACTGCAAATTCTTTAAACTGCTGAAACTCCATCCCACCAAGCGCCCCATGCTGTGCATGTGTCCTGAGAGTTGTCAGTCGTGAAGGGAGAGATCTGTGCTGGACTGGTGCAGATCTGTGAGTGGAGCATGTAGCATTTGTTGGATAAGTTAAGGGGGTTTGGAAAGGAAGGCCTGTGTGGTGTTTAGATTGAGAGTGAGTGAGTGTTGTGGGGGGTTGGGTGGAGTTGAGCAGCAGAGGGCTGTAAAAAGATCTTTGTCTTGTGCAGGTCACTGCCTCAGAGCAGAGGATTGTGGTTAAACAAAAAAAGCCACATTTGATCAATCTGCATAATGCTGCTGATCTTGCACAGCCCAGTATTAGACACCAAATCCCCCTGTTTTATCATAATCTGTTCTAAAAGTAAATCAGAGGTATATCACGTGCCCGTTTTCTTGGCACTGGAACTGAGGGAACACAATCACTCAGACGTAGCTGTTTATATAGCACTCTGTGAGCTGGGTGTCTTTGTTCTCTGGTTGTTGGGCAGCAGGCGGTAGGGTTTGGAGCAGTGAGACGGCAGACTGCTCATGAGAGACTGTCTCACCTATTCACTGCCTCACAAAAGACAAAGCTGTCTCGTAGCCTGTGTTAACTCCTTTTCTGTTGGTCACCATGGTTAAGTCAGACAAGATTGGCTATGAGGTTGCCACCTGATTCATTGGGATCTCGCTCACACTTATTCACATTGTTGCTGAGCAGCTGTTTGTTGGCAGCACCTTTAATGAGTCACCTGTCCCCTGTGAAGTTGTTGTCTCTATGACTCCCACTGTCTGTCTATAATGTATTCTTGTATCTACTTGTGGTCTGGGTAATTCATCTCCAAAGTAGTTTAGCGTTTCATCTTTTGGCGGTTGGTTTTAGATTATGTGGGTGGCTGGTAATGGTTTGGTTTGCTTCTATTTGACCATGACACGTTTCAGTGCTTTGCTTAATAGCCGAAACACCAGGTTGTAGGTAGACAGAGTAATGGTAAAATGTTAAGTTGCATGTTGTCAATAATTTTGCATCCTCTTTTTTTCCTGAAGGTAATATCATAGCATCATTTTTGACAGTACTTGACATTGACAGTTGTGCTTTTTGGTTAAGGGTGATTGATTTAACCCTAGATAAAACTGTGAGTGTAACTTGGCCCTTTTTTAATAACATGGTCACACTTTGTGGAAATGGACAGTCCTGCTGATTTTCCTTCACGAGGAATCAGATAAATGATTCCTGTGTTAGAAAACCTTTGAAATTGAGGAGCTTGTTTCCTTTTTAGAATGCATTCGTTTAGATCAGTGGTTCTCAACTCCAGTCCTCGGGACCCGCTGCTCTGCATATTTTATATGTCTCTCTTATCTGACACACTCAGTTCAGTTCAAAGGCTGCGTTTACACTTCATCAAGCAGATCGGATCATTAGCCAATCAGGACATGGTGCGTTTATATTTGTTCACATTAAGCAGCCTCTGTATCTGGATAACCGATCGGATTTCCGTTTCCCGCATAATATTTAAATCAGGTCTGTGGCACGACACCAGATTAATAGTATAAGATGATACAAGTTAAACAACATCCCAATTGCTTTCACTCACTAACTTTACTTTCATATGCAATCTCCATTAATTAGATCAAATTATATTTTTTGAAAGAAGGAATACTTCCAGAGTTGATCTTACAAAAATAACTGGGTTGATCATGTTAAACAAGTCACATCATCGATCATCTGGGTTTAAGGTTGCGTGCAATGACTATATTGACAGAAATGGGAGATTGCTAAACATGCTGAAACAATAAAAACATTCAACATTTAAAACATTAAAAAATTCCGATTCCGATTATTCCTCTGGCAAGTGCAGCTCTTCATTAAGATCTCATGACTGACTGTGAGTGTACAGGCGATCGCCTCGTTCAGATAATGTTGCACAATTAAAATGAAAAATGACACACATAAATAAACTGTTTTAAAGATTGACGTTTATTGTTCAAATAAGTTTAATTTCGTGTCTAAACTGCGTCTGGCCATTACTTTCTGACAGTCACGCGGGGAGACTAGGCGGGGATTTAAATTACGTTCACCTGTGAATGCAGACACGATGGCTGGATTGCGTTTACATTACACTGAGATCTGATCACAATGCGTCCTCGACTACCTCCGAACCGGGACACGCTGATCGGATAACATTCCGATCATATGTGCGTTTACACTTGTCTTTTCAATGTGTATGTGGACAATATCCAGATACAGGTCGCATGTTAATGCCAAGTGTAAACGCAGTATGGCTGCGTTTACACTTGGCATTAACATGCGACCTGTAAACGCAGCCATAGAGTCTATCCTAACGAGCTGAGGATCTGAATCAGGTGTGTTAAATAAGGGAGACATACACAATATGCAGAGCAGTGGGTCCCGAGGACTGGAGTTGAGAACCACTGGTTTAGATTACTGTAAATAACTTACATTGTAGGTTACACTACTGCCAGTTCACTACTTTTGCTCCAGAATGAATTCTACATTCCAGAATGAATCTGAGCAAGTCATTGAATCTGTCAATCTGCTGATTCGTTCAAAAACACAAAGACAATCACTTATTTCATTCCTGAATGAATCAGCTTGTTGGAATGAATTGGTTGAATGAATGATTCAATGATTTACTCATAGGCCCAAAATTGTGATATTTGCATTTGTCTGCTTATCAAATATGTTCAGTATTTGGCCCAAGTTTTCAAGTGGGCATGAAGACGTTTGGGTAGAACTTTGATGACCCAGTGGGACACCCTTAAATAGGGTAACTTCACTTGTTTTGTTTTGTGAAGTTTCTTGAATGAATCAGTGTTTTTGAACAAATCAGTTTACTGAATGATTTAATGACTCACTCAAAAAGATTTACTTTCTACATGTAACCACAGAAGAGTCACAGAAAAATCGATTAATGCACTTAATTTACAAGTTATTTAGTGCAAGTTTGTGTCCTTAATGTTTTTATTATGTAGTAACCCTTATATAAAAACAGTAAGACAGTTGAGGCTTTTGTACCATTTATACTAGTATAATCAGGTCTAAATGTTATTTTCAGGCACAACATGCAGTGGTTACAATATATTACATTTAAAAAAAAAAATGTAGTAGCATGCTTTGGCTTCATGTGGCAGTTGTATAGTGACAGCAAACCAGTGCATTGTCTGTGTGAATGTAATGTGAGATGCGGCTCTAAGGTGACCGAGTACAGTGGATTACAGTGCCATTGCCTAAAGCTCTGTTATGATAATGACCTGATGTTGGTGTTTATTTCAGATGGATCTTGCTATTATCTTATGAGATAAGTATGTCACTACTGCCTTGCAGCTCAATATAAGAAAAGTTTTATTATATGTGCTGCCTCTGAAACCTGTGGTTGAGTTCACTTTAGGCTGTAGGCACAGATATTCAGTTGCTCTTAAAGGAGTGTTTTTTTTAGTCTGAGTATTTTTCATTATTAATGCCTGGCGACTCTTATCATTGTCTGGAGGAAATTAGTGACTTGAAACCAGGACCCTGCAGGATACCCCCCACCCTTTCTCAGCGGACAGCATTTAGTCCCTGTTGGCAACTCTCCAGTTTTCTCTCTATTTAGCCTTGTTGAGTGTATATGAACCGTCTGGTTTAGGAACAAAATAGGTTGCCTGAGGTCTTGAACCTCACTTCTCAGTCCTGTTCACTCCATTTCAAAATAAGTCATTTGAACTGCAGCCATCTGTGTGACTATTGTTCAACTATTCGACAGAGATGCCAAGTAGTTTTGATTGTTTAATGCAGAGTGGCTGTGACCGGAATGTAGTGATTTTATCAACCTACTGATCTAGCCGTCTCAAGGCCTGTTCATGCCAACACGAATGTTCGGCATGAGAATTTGGTCAGATTGGTCTGGTTCTGGGTTCATCCTCAGCTATTCACTGTCGCTTAGCAAAATATTCTTTTCGTGACCACCACCAAATCATAGTTTTACATAACAGCAACAGCTCTACGCATGTGACCACACACAAAAAAAATTGGTGTAGGATTTAGCCTACTTTGAAACTATTTTCACTCAGAAATTGCTAGTAAATTTCACTAATTATTACAAATAAATGGCAAGTAGCACTGAATTAAACGTGTGTGGCTGTTTGTGTCGGTCTGAACAGACGCTTTAACAGCTGTTCTTTCAAATTAAAATTTTTATTGCACAGAACTTTCACACTGAATATTTGTCTTTGTGTGAACAGGCCTTCAGATTGCTGCTAAATAGCCATCGATGTCATTAATTTTTTGAGTATGTAGTTTATCTGAAGCAGAAACTGTAACTCAGATGTCACTTCCTTTCTTAGATGGACAAGTCATCCCTCTGGTGGAGCTATCAGCCAAGCAGGTGGCATTCCATATTCCGTTCGAAGTGGTGGAAAAGGTCTATCCTCCCGTTCCTGAGCAGCTCCAATTGCGGATTGCCTACTGGAGCTTTCCAGAGAACGAAGAGGACATCAGGTAAAAGCCCACAGACCTTGTAACTGCTAATAAACACTGGCCGGTCCAAAAAAAGTCACTGTTTGGATTTAAATAGGCAAATGATTAAGAGTCTATGGAAATAACATCACAACATTTATTTCCATTAAGAGGTGCATCAATTTTTGGTCAAGATCTTGTATTGACAACGCAAGAAGAGTCATGCACTCTGTAAAGTCTGCTCCAATACATCCCAAATACTTTCAAAGAATTTGAGGTCTGGGCTCAGAGGTGCCAATTCATGTGTGAAAATGATTCTTCATGCTCCCTCCAAACCATACTTTCACAATTTGAGCCTGATGAATATTGGCTTTGTCATCCTGGAATATGGCCATGATATGTCTTCCTACATGGTTGTTTAAGAAATGAAAAGCTAAACACTCCATCAAATAGTGTTAGAAGAACTGTTGCCAAACATATAACAAGCTAAAAACATAATATTCACTGCAATAATGATCCAGTCATAGACTCTTAAGCATTTGACCGGGCAGTGTATTATTTTAAATACTTGTGCTTTACCTTTATGCTTAACCAGATTACCAGAATGCCTATTAAGATATAGAGTATGACCTGCTGAATGCTCGGTTTAATTTCCTTCTCCTTTCTGTTTGTGCAGATTATACTCTTGTTTGGCCAATGGCAGCCCTGATGAGTTCCAGCGTGGTGAGCAGCTCTATAGAGTGAGAGCTGTTAAAGACCCTCTGCAGATAGGTGAGAAATCAAAGACATTTAAGTATTTATTGTGTCACGAGTGGTGGGTTTTTGACCAAAATGTTCGGAAAGTGGCTTTAGGTGAATTGCTTTGCTGCACTGAACACTTCTCACATACACTCACCGGCCACTTTATTAGGTACCCCATGCTAGTAACGGGTTGGACCCCCTTTTGCCTTCAGAACTGCCTCAATTCTTCGTGGCATAGATTCAACAAGGTGCTGGAAGCATTCCTCAGGGAGTTTGGTCCATATTGACATCATGGCATCACACAGTTGCCGCAGATTTGTCGGCTGCACATCCATGATGCGAATCTCCCGTTCCACCACATCCCAAAGATGCTCTATTGGGTTGAGATCTGGTGACTGTGGAGGCCATTTTAGTACAGTGAACTCATTGTCATGTTCAAGAAACCAATTTGAAATGATTAGAGCTTTGTGACATGGTGGAAGTAGCCATCAGAGGATGGGTACATGGTGGCCATAAAGGGATGGACATGGTCAGAAACAATGCTCAGGTAGGCCGTGGCATTTAAACGATGCCCAATTGGCACTAAGGGGCCTAAAGTGTGCCAGGAAAACATCCCCCACACCATTACACCACCACCAGCCTGCACAGTGGTAACAAGGCATGATGGATCCATGTTCTCATTCTGTTTACGCCAAATTCTGACTCTAACATCTGAATGTCTCAACAGAAATCGAGACTCATCAGACCAGGCAACATTTTTCCAGTCTTCAACTGTTCAATTTTGGTGAGCTCTTGCAAATTGTAGCCTCTTTTTCCTATTTGTAGTGGAGATGAGTGGTACCTGGTGGAGTCTTCTGCTGTTGTAGCCCATCCGCCTCAAGGTTGTGCGTGTTGTGGCTTCACAAATGCTTTGCTGCATACCTCGGTTGTAACGAGTGGTTATTTCAGTCACTGTTGCCCTTCTATCAGCTCGAACCAGTCTGGCCATTCTCCTCTGACCTCTGGCATCAACAAGGCATTTCCGCCCACAGAACTGCCGCTCACTGGATGTTTTTTCTTTTTCGGACCATTCTCTGTAAACCCTAGAGATGGTTGTGCGTGAAAATCCCAGTAGATTAGCAGTTTCTGAAATACTCAGACCAGCCCTTCTGGCACCAACAATCATGCCACGTTCAAAGTCACTCAAATCACCTTTCTTCCCCATACTGATGCTCGGTTTGAACTGCAGGAGATTGTCTTGACCATGTCTACATGCCTAAATGCACTGAGTTGCCGCCATGTGATTGGCTGCTTAGAAATTAAGTGTTAACGAGCAGTTGGACAGGTGTACCTAATAAAGTGGCCGGTGAGTGTATATCTTAAATGTTTTTTATAGGATACAAATCTTAAAATCGCACCCTAAATAAGCCATCCTTGTGTTTAGAGTCATCTTTGGCTCTGTACATGTTCAATGCCAAGTCTTCAAATAGCCTGAGAGAGAACCAGAGGCATGGGACATAAGGCTGAGTGTATGTGTAAGTGGTTCAGGCTGTGTGAATGAATGCTGTTGTTGGAGGCAGTGGGCCATACAGCAGCAGAGGGAAATCATGATGCAGCTGGCCCAAATCTGACCTAGCCTTTGCACACGCACACACACACACCCTTCAGGGGTCTGCCTGCCTGATTCACAGTGTTTAGACTGCCCGTAGAATTCAGACAACTTTTCAAAAGGCTAAAACAAACCTTTAAACTCTTTCAGGATTAGTGATAAATCAAATGAATTTTTGAAAGAAGTCTCTTATGCTCACCAAGGCTGTATTTATTTGATCAAAATACAGTAATACTGTGAAATATTAAAAAATATATTTTAAAATGCAATTTATTCATGTGAGGGCAAAGGTGATTTTTTTTTTTAGCAGCCATTACTTTAGTCTTCGGTGTCACAAGATCCTTCAGAAATCATTCTTATACTGATTTGGTGCTCCGATAACTTTTCTGTGCTGCTTCAATATTTTTGTGGAAACTGATACATTTTTACAGGATTCTTTGATTAATAAAAAGTAAAAAAGAACAGCATTTATTTGAAGTAGAAATATTTTGTAATATTATAAATCTCTATTTAATCCATGCTTGCTGAATAAAAGTGCACATTTCCATATAAAAAAAAAATCATATTGACCCAAACCTTTTGAACGGTTATGTATATCAGTAGGTATAGGTAATTTTGAGATCTGCGTTTGTTTGATAATGAACATTGAGACAAAGCAGTTACATTTTATATTGCAATATATTGGTCACCTTATAAAAACACGGACGTGGTGGAGTTAGATGTGTTGCCATCTTTAACTAGGAAAGTTTGCACAGTTTAACTTGAAATTTTCAAATTTGTCAATGCAAACTTATCCATTTTGGGGGGGCTCAAGGTTAGAAATGTGTAATTAATAATGAGTCAGATACTTCCAAGTAAGTTGTGTCGGTAACACTTTACAATAAGGTTTCATTGGTTAACATTAGTTAATGTATTAACTAACATGAACTAACAATGAACAAACATTTGTTACAGTATTTATAAATCTTTGTAAATGTTAGTTAATAAAAATACAGTCAATGTTTGTTCATGTTAGTTCACAGTGCATTTAACTAATGTTAACAACCACAACTATTGATTTTAATAATTTATTAGTAAATGTTGAAATTATAAATCATTTTGATTAATAAATGCTGTAGAAGTCTTGTTTATTCTCATTTCACGTTAACTAATGAAACCTTATTTTAAAGAGTTACCAATGTGTCCGTAGCTTTAATATAGTGATCTTGCTGTTTAAACATCGTAACTTTCTAGAGGGAAAAACCCAACTAGCTTGTTCCTCAGAAGCATACTTTAGGTTTTTAGTTGCATTTTGACCCCTCTGTGTGTTTGGTTCTTCTGATTTATGCGAGTTTCGCTCACTGCTTTTTTGTTTACAGTGTGGTAGCAGATTGTTAGGGGGATTTATTATCAATTATATGATTCTGAAAATACCATAAAAAAATCCTGTAACTGCCCTGGCCAATCAGTGACAACCCACCACACTGACCTCCTAACTGCCCGTCAAGACCTAATCAAACGTTTTCAGTCACTCCACCAAAGTGTAGCCAGAGCGGTCTGACATAGAACAGCTGCACCTAAAAGGGAAGTGTTTCCAAAACTCTTCCCATTGCACTGTGTTTAACCTCATGCCCAATGCCCTCATGTCATGCCCAAACTTCTTGGTTGTTACTGACCTATTAGTCTATTCAACAAACATTTCTGCATTGCCCACTGGGATATGAGTCAGCTAGACCCATTCAATCACTTAATATGTGGTTCATGTGAGGTAAATTATCAGTTTAATCAGAGATTCGGTTTACCATGACTGTAACAATATCACTAATACTAACATTATATTCTTTAATGATGTGTAACTAATGACAACTGTCACAGCCCGGCTCCGAGGTTGTGACAAAGAAGCGGGACGCAAAACCTCAATCAAGAGATGACCAATTTATTTACCAAACAAAAAGCACAATAAACACAAAATGCCGGCAACAACACAAAACATGTAAAGGGAAAAGCACGCAGGAGGGAGAACCCCTCGCTCGTTCCTCCTGAAGGCAGGGAGCCGGAAGCTTTTATCAGGAAGAGAAACTCCCACCGCAGGTGTCCTCCATCCGCGCTCAGGATTGAAGCCCCGCCCCACTGAAACACAGACATAACACAAACAAGTATGCAGGCCGTCACACTCCCCCCCCATAAAAAGGGGAACCCCAGAAGGAAACCCGACAACAATAAATATTACTCCCACTTAAACTCAAAACAATTATCCCACCCCCTACCAACATTCCAGGATAAATAAATGAATACTTAACTAGCCATTACTATTCCAATCATCCGCATCTTTCAGTCCCACTTCTGGTTCAGCAGTCGATATACCTAAAAGGCAATTTAAAGAATCCAGAAGAGGCAAACGACTATAAGTACCAAACAATTACCCTAGCGGCGCCCTAGACAGCGCGTCCGCAATTATATTGTCCACTCCCTTCACATAGCGAACGTCCAAGCAATAGGACTGCAAAAACAATGACCATCGAATCAATCTTTGGTTCGGACACTGTAAAGAATTTAAGAAAGTCAACGGATTATGATCGGTAAAGACCACCACAGGAGCACTACCACTAACATAAACATCAAAATGTTTTAGAGCCAAAATCAGAGCAAGCGTCTCCTTTTCGATCACAGAATAATTCCCCTGGTAACGATTAAATTTCTTTGAAAAGAAACTAACCGGCCTCTCAATACCACAGTCATCCTCTTGCATGAGGACCCCAGCCCCTACCTGGCTTGCATCCACATACAATTTAAACGATCTGTCTAAACGTGGCGCCGCTAACACTGGAGCGGTACATAAGAGCGTTTTGACATGTTGGAAGGCACTTTGACAAACAGAGGACCAGAAAAAGTTGACTTTATCCCTCAACAAATCAGTGAGAGGTGCTACAACGCTAGAAAAGTTTCTACAGAATGCTCTGTAATAACCTACCAGCCCCAGAAAACGCATCAGCTCTTTTTTAGTTGTTGGAACTGGAAACTGCTCCACCGCCTGAATTTTTGCATTCACCGGACGCACCTGCCCCTGCCCAACTACTCGGCCAAGATAAGTCACGGTCGCCCTCGCAAACTCACACTTTGCGAGATTGACCGTGAGCTTTGCCTCCGCCAAACGAGTAAACAATTCCCGCATACGTTCCAAGTGACTATCCCAGGTGTTTGAATAAATGACTACATCGTCAAGATATACAGCGCAACCCTGCATGTCACCTACAACGTGATTCATGAGACGCTGAAAGGTCGCAGGTGAATTACGAAGCCCAAACGGCATTACCTTATACGAATATAAGCCCTTTGGGGTAATAAACGCAGCAATCTCACGAGCACGTCTAGACAAGGGCACCTGCCAGTAGCCTTTAAGGAGATCAAACTTACTGACAAATTTCGCAGCACCCACCTGATCGATGCAGTCATCCATTCTCGG